TCCTGTTAGCATCCTCCATGGTGTTGCTTTCCCTTCTTAACAAACAGCTCCTACGCTCTTGTGTCCGTGCCAAGGTGTTTTTTCCTTTTGCTCAGCACTAGCTGGCTTTCCGGTATGGGATGCTGCTGGAGGATGAGGGAAAGCACGTGTTTTTTGGGGGCCTGGAGATACAGCAGTGCTTTGTGTTCTGCTCTCTGTGCCTCCTGTGCCGCTCCAATAGATCCTGGCAACAGCAAATGTAAAAATAGATGCCAGGCGCTTTCTGCCTTTCCTCCCAAACCTGCCTTTTGGCAGCCGTGCTGCGTGGCTTGCCGTTCTCCTTGACTCTCAGTGGAGGCGAGTGGGAGGAGAGAGGAGCCTTTGCACAGGAAAGGGTTTTACTGAAACTGTCTGGAGGCAGTTTGGATGTGCTGATTAAACACGGTGACCTAAATGAGCGTGCACAGCCATGTAGGGGGGCTGGGGAGCCCTCCACCATACATCAATGCTCACAAGCAGTGTTACGGCGGCAGGATGTGAGCTTGCAAACCCCTGGTGCACGTCTCACTTCCCAGGAGCTGCTGGAGAGCTCGCAGGGGCCTCCGGCTGCTTCCCCTTTCTGGGGCGTCTGCAGGGAGTTTTCTGTTTGACGTTTCCTCTCCTGTCCCTGTGTGCTGGGGCAGCTTGCTGCTTCCTTCCCCCTGCAGAGATCCCCGGGGCCTGGGTGCCCTCTTGACCCTTCCTTGCCACAGCATCCTTGGACGGCAGATCCTGAGGTGATGCTGGGAGAAGCCCTTTGCCTTTGGGGGGGGATGCATGCCCAGCACGGTGCAATGCTGCAAGCAGGCACCCGATGCACAGAGGCACTGGACCTGTGGGGCGTAAGAGGGAAGAATATAGGGGTTTTTTTAGGAAAAGCTAATTGCTTGAACCTGCAGCTCATGTCTTCAGGCTGGCTTGAGCTGTGTTCCCTGGATGTGTTGTGTTAGAGATGTCTCTGAGCAAGTTTGGCTCTCTGTGCAACCGGGGCCCGTGTCTTAGCAGAAGCATTGCTTTGCAGTGGAGGTGGGCAGTAACTGATGATGGAAAGGAGCAGTTCTCCACAGAGCAGAAGGGCATTGATATGGGAGCAGCAGGCTGGGAAGCAGCGGGTTTCGTCCTCTGCTCCGTGTTCAGGGGGAGACCCGTTTCCAGCTGTAGGGAGCAAGGGAAGAAGCACAGGCTCAGGCACCAAGCACGTCTCCTTAGCTAGGAGCAATCCTGCTCCTGATTACCACCTGTGCTCTGGCACCGGGACAAGACAGCCTGTTTAATTTAACATTTTTTTAACTAGCAAAGTCTCTGTCAGGCTGTGACCCCCGGCAAACCTTACTAAGAACAGCAGCCTGGGAGTAGGTGGCCAGAGATGGGTGGCTTGTCCTGGATGTCCTGTGCAGTGAGGAGCTGGACCCAAGCTAGCGGCACCTTCCTCAGGAGAGGAATCCAAAACACCTCCGAGAAGTGGGTCCTTGCAGTCCTGGGTCCCTGTTGCTGGACATGCTTGGCATGACTTCCTCGATCTCCCTGCGCTCCTCGGTGCCAGCACCTCTTCCACGGTCTGATTAATATAACCCAGTTAAATTCAGAGCGATTCATCTGAGCCTGAGCTGCGAAGCCCACGGCTGCTGTTTCAGTCCTGGAAAAGGGTTTGTATGGGCAGAAGCTGGTTTGTTTTTCCAGGCATATCATCTAGTCCCATAAAAGAGATCATGTCCCCCTCTGAGGCTTGGGTGGCACCGATCCAGAAACCCACCACCCAGGGCTTCCCCCCGAGGGCAGCTTGTGGAAGAAACGTGGGAAACTGAGGGGTGTGGGATGGGGTTAATAGCGAAAAGATGCTGTGAGAATTTGTGTTTAGTTGGGCTGGGACTTGAAACCCGCCCCAATCCCGCTCTCCTGCTGCATCCCAGCAGAGGCAGTGTTTGCACCTCCTGTTTCCACTGGAACTGATTCATAAAAAAAAAAATAAAAAAAAAATACCCAACATGGAACAACTTAATCCTCCCAAACACTCATCTTGTGCCATAAACTTAGAGCTCAGCCTAAAAATAGCTCTGTTCCCTGTTTGAGGTGTAGTCCCGACTGCTTGCTGACTGCTGATTAGGTCTTGGGAACAAAAAATAGCTCCTTAATCCAGTGCCAGCACAAGCAGAGTTTTTTCCTTGAACGGACACTTTTTGAAGCAGATCGGGTTTTAAAACTTGTTCTTTCAAAGGCGTTGCTGCTGAGCACCCAAATTAATTTTAATGACCACAACATTATAAGTGATGGGATGGGAGATGCTGATAGTGTATCCATGTGAGCTGAGCCAGTGCAGAGCTCTTTTGGGCTGTTACATCTCATCGTCCTCAGAAGCTCATGCCTTTCCTTATGTTAATCCACCCAGATTTTCTCTCTCTTTTTTTTTCCATGAGATGACGTAAGATGTAAAAACTACTTGCAAGACTTTTTTTTTTAATTTCCCTGCTAAATGATTCAGTCCCCAAATCTCTCCTCTCCCAGCTGGCAGGCTGCTGCAGCCTTTCCCTCTTGAACTTCTTCCAGGTCTTGCATCAAACTGAACAACATAGTATTTGATGTGCTGTGGCCGCAGCCTGTTCCAGGCAGCCTTTTCCCCACCGCTCCTACGGGAAGTGTCCGCCTGACTCACCTGCTCCTGCTCCCCTAAGTGCTCCCTGGCAGTGGATCAGCCTGTTTGGGTGTCTCTTTGCCACTGTGGGCTTGCTGTAAGGGGTTAATGCTGCTTTTTTTTTTTCCTTTTTTTTTTTTTCTCTGCATGCCTGGATATTTTCAAGGTTGAAGCCTGGGTACTGAAAATTTTGCAGTAGGGATCATATGGCGGTGGGATAAGCAAGTGGTAGGAATAGGAATGGGTTCACTGGGGATTTAACGTTGTGCCTGTACCCAGCAAATTTCGGTGGCACCCAAATTACATGGTGAAGGACCTGTGTGCTTCCAGCTGTGCACTCATGTTATTTATCTAGGCATCCCAGCAGGGAATTATGGATTTTGTACCCCCTTCCTGAGGCACGGTGTAGGCTCCCCAGGTGTTTCAGCTCCTCCCTTTGTCTGAGATGCAGTAGCTTCCCCAGCAGTAATTCAGAAACTTCTGGAGAACGTGATTCAAGTTTTCTCCTTGCCCTGGTGATTTCAGCATGGTCACACCCATCCCCATCCCTTCATATTTTCCTTCCTTTTTTTTTTTTTAAATCTTTTCAGTGACTTCACTTTTCAAGCAGATGTAGAACACTGCTGGGATTTTTATTTTCCGGGAAATCATTGGGAAGTTGTTAATCCAGGTCTAGAAATTTCTTCCACCGCCTGTTGCTGCATGTTTCGCCCATGAAGCGTGTCACGGAGAAATAGGGTCTGTCCTGAACATACAGCTTTCCTTGCACCTTGTTAAGGGGAATTTTAATACTTTGATCCGGGAGGGATCAGAGCTGCTGTGGCAGCGGCTGTGCTGGAGACCCGCTCATCCTGCTGCAGCCGCCTCGGGAAGCGGCACCTGGAACCAGGGCAGAAAGACGGGGCATCTCGCGGGCGGAGAAGGAAGCGAAGGACCACTGGGTCGGCAGCGGTTTTGGGGAAGGAATGGTTCCCTCATGGCCTTTGTTTCGTGCTGCCCCATCTGAACGTGGTACTGTGGTGAAATGGAGAACTAGAAGGTGCCTCTGGGCATCTCTTCCTTCGGCGTCCTCTCACCCAGTGTTCATTCTAGCTGGCAGGAGGCAAGACCCCTCTCTCATCGCATACCAGGGGTTGCTCTGTGCCCTGCCAGTGCACAGGCTATTCACTGCAGAAGGATGGGGCCCTAAATGGAGGTTGGGAGTTTTTTTCTCTTGTGCAGTGAATGTTTTGGAGGCTTTTCCCATGCTCCTTCCATCTCTGTGCGCAAAGCTACAGAGCAAAGTCTGCGTTATGGGTTTTGTCCAGGGCAGGGTGGTGGGGAGCATTCCCCAGTAACCTGCTGTGGAGTCAATTGAAGCTTTTGCTTTGGTGGATGTGGCCAATGTTTCCTTTGGGAGCTCTCACCAGCCCCAGTGCCGGGCTTCGGTGATCGGCATGAGGGGTGTTAAAATTAAAATAAAGTCCTTTTCCTTCCTTGGCTCAGGCTTCTGGCTGCCTCAAATTTTACAGACATTTCAGCAGAATTGGCAGATTTGGAGGAGGGGAAGGTGATGGACTTATAGGTGTGCTGCATCCTCCACCATCACATCAGGTCATTGCAGATTCCAAAGCTATACTGCAGGCTGGAGACTGTTATTGCCTGTCTGTGGGAATATAGATATTTCTCAAAAATCCAGTAGCCTGGGTAGGGTTCGGTTGGGTTGGATAGGGTAGGTGCTGCATGGCACCTCCTCCTGCCCATAAAGAGCTCCTGGGATGCAGGATCCTCTACATGCTTGATGCAAGGACACTTCTAGGCAAACTTCAGCATCCTCATTTAGGATGAGGCATGGAAGGTCTGGCATAAAGTTATTTTAATGAATGTTGTTGAGTGCTTTTGCCATTACAGTACTGTCTCTGACTTGAAAGGATTTGTTCTGAGTCACTGGCTCTTGAATATTTAAAGTGCAAGTACAAAGCACAATCTTTTTTTAACACAGGTTCACAGCAACATATCAACTGACCGTACAAAAATTTGGCCACCAGTAACTTTCCCCTGAAACGCACTGCGGTATCTGATGCCAGGGTGAATGAGATGGTGTATGCCAGGTTATTTAGTGGAAGGACAGAATTTAGTATTAGGACAGGGATGGAGACAGAGCTCTTAGAAAGCTGCTGTGGTTCAGGGAGGGGTCTGGTCCCATATGACACCTCTGTGCTTGGTGTTTGCATGTCTCTGACTCAGGTCTTAGGTGACTTCTGGGGCACTTGTGCTAACTCCCACCCAGTGGCATCCTCCCCGAGGTCTTCCTGGCATGCGACTCTTGGAAATGATGAAGGGGCCTTTCCTTTTCTTTCCTCTCTGGCTCCAGGTGGCACAAGCTACACTCCAAGGCTGGGAAGAAGGAGAAGGAGCGTGGTGAGATCCTGGTGAGCATCCAGTTCACGCGCAACAACCTCACGGCCAGCATGTTCGACCTGTCCATGAAGGACAAGCCGCGGTCGCCCTTTGGCAAGCTGAAGGACAAAGTGAAAGGCAAGAAGAAATACGACTTGGAGTCAGCCTCTGCCATCATCCCCAGCAGCATGGGCGCCCTCGACATGGAGGATGACTACGACATTGGGGGCAAGAAGTCCAAAGTCAAGGGCTTCTTCTTGAAGAACAAGCTGCGCAAGTCGTCCCTGACGCAGTCCAACACCTCCCTGGGATCAGACAGCACCATCTCTTCTGCCAGCCTGGTCTTGGCCGCAAATGTTCCTGAGGTAACCAAATCCCCGAGCAGACACAGCAGTCTGTCCACAGAACGCTCTGGTAAGAGGATAACGGTTTTAATCCCTCCCCCCCTTTTTTTCCCCCTTCTTTTCTTTGTAAAGGACTGTTGAGGCTTTCCTGCAAATCTGTTAACTAATTGCTTACCTAAGAAGCGTCACCGTGCACAAACCCTCCTAGACCTTCTGCGTGCTGGCAGTAATGTGCTTGCCAGAACGGGTGGAAACATCTAAGATTTTGCTTTTCATGCTGAGTCTGCGTATGAACAGCCTGACTTACATTGATGCTGCATGTGCTCTCTGCAGCGCGCTACGAGCTTGCGGGCTACGAGGGTTCTTTAGGACCGTTTCTTCTCTGCCCCCAAAAAACAGGTCGCTAACGCTGACTCGTAGTAGTAAGCCCCTGGGAGAGGGCTGGGCAAAGCAGAGCACATTGCTGCTGCGCTGCGCTGCTGCCCGGCTGTCTAATGAGACGCCTCCGGCTTGGAGGCAAAGCTGAAACAGTGACCAGTTCCTGGTGATTAAAGCAATCTGAGCTCTTGGCGCTCAGAAAGCGGTGATTTGCAAACAAAAAAGGCCCTTGTAGTGAATTAATTCTTGCCATCCCTTGAAAACAAAATATATAATTAAATGGTTTAATTGGCTGGAGACAGCAAATTCCCATATTGGGTGGGAGTCCCTGGGTACGTGTTGCTTCTCGCCGTGCTGGTGAAGCCACCCGCGTGATGCCTCTCGGTTTCTGCTGGGTGACGTTCCCATGTGTGGCTGGAGAGCGAGTGGAGGCACTGGTCTGGCCCCATCATCCTCGTGTTGTGAAGGGGACAGCATCTCTGGCTAGGAAGGGAGAGCAGCTGCGTGTCACCTAAAGTCCAGGCAGTCCTTCTCACCGGGCTGTCCACATAACCCCCAAAATTTGCTAAGCATTAGCAATAGCCACAGGGTCAGGCAGTGGGAGGGAGAAGCAGGCGCTGGACCTTGCTGGCTTATATCGCACAGAGCAGCAGCCTGGCCTGTCAGAGCAGAGCTCAGAGGCTCGTCGTCTTTTATTCAATGCGAACTCTTAAATCACATGGAAGCATAAGCCCTTTAAGTAGCTTCTGGGTAGTTTCTTGCATTTATTATCGATCTCAGATCCTCTCAGACAAAGGGTTTGTCGTCTTACAGAGACTCCTCTCTGGATCCTGCAGTGGGAGGTGATGTGCTTGGGGAAAATATCATATAGCCTGTATAGCCACATACTTGTGACCTGTGCTTTGCATTTCTAGTAATTTAATTATAAGCTGGTAGAACCTGGGAGGGAGAAAGCCGGGATGATTTTACAGAGCTCTTTAGTATTTGCAAGTATAAGATAACGATGCTTGTCGTACCTGTGCCTGTTACTCAGATGGCCTCACCTCTGTTTTGTGTTTTATTTCCCCCCAGTGAAAGACTACTTGCCGTCTCCAAAGCTGACCCACAAGAGAGCATTCAGTGATGATGTCTCCCAAGTCAGCCCGGTCCTGGAGCCCAAAGCAATCCAAAGCCTGAAGCCAAAGAATGACCCCGTGTCCCGGTCTTCTCTCTGCATCAATGGGAGCCACGTTTACAGCGACGAGCCTGCACCAAAGAGTCCCTTGTCTGTCCCGCAGAGCTCTGCGCCGCTGTCCGTGCCCAGTGTCCCCAGACGGTCGGAGGAGGGCTTTGGCTTCACTCCCCTCCATCCCGACTCCCACGAGGTGCCTTGGGGGGTCAGCAACTTTGAGAGGACGCAGCAGAGAGACGAGCCCAGATTCATCCCGTCTCCTCCCAGCTTAGCCTTGCAAGAAGAGCTCAAGGTCTCCACGAAAGCCGTCACTCTCAGTAACCATCTGGGCAGAGCCAAGATGGAAGAAAACAGTCGCGTAGAGAACAAGCCGACTCAAGCTGCAACACCCATGGTCTTCTCCTCGGAAATGACGAAGGACAAACAACCCGAGGAAATGAAGAAGGAGGACAAGAAAGCAAAGGGCAGCCTCTTCCACCACGGGGGCAACAAGAGTGACGCGGGGAGCAAAGGCCAGGGGGAGAAAGTGGGACCCTCCCACAGCTCGTCCGCCCATGCCATGGCAGGGGGAGATGAGAGGAATAAAACCAGTGGCTGGTTCGGTTCAAAGGAGGCCAAAGAGTCCCCTCAGAAACCCAGGTCAGTGAAATGGGTGCGTTGACATCTGGGCCATTAACTAGCTGCCCCAGCCTCCTGTCTTCAACGGCTGTGCTGTTAAATGCTCTCCAGCATCAGCGGAGGACCGGTCCCCATTGCTCAGACAAGATGATAGCGGGGGAAATGCTTCCTTGGTCTTAAAGGTCTCAAAGGGAGGGTGATTTTTTCCTGGATCCTCCCCTGCCTTCTGCCATGAACCAACTCCATTTGCCCTCCTGGGCCATGTTTCCCAGTTGGGGAAGGCAGGAATCCCCTTCATGGAGAGGGAGATGTTTCCCTCTGCAGAGGTGAGGTTCACTGTGGTCATGCCAAGTGTTTCCGTGGCCTCAAAGTAAAGGATCATTATCCTTTAATTAGCTAAAAAAGCTTCCCTGGCAATCAGCGTAGGATGTGGGACATAATGACATGTAATCACATTTTTTTTTTTTTTATTAACTTCCCACCCCCTCTACGTCGCTGGTCTGGCCTGGGGGCACAGTACTTCGGTAACAAGATATTATTAATATTTCTGAAGTAACTAATCCCAGCCCTGCTCTTTCCTCTTCCCATCCCACCCCAGCCTTGCCTTCTCCCGATTATGGATCTCTAATTGTTCTCGCTTTGTGTGATGATTCATCCCTCCAAATCCTCAGCACTGTATTTGTGGCACACACAACTTGGCGTTCGTGCTGTTTCTGTGCGGGCTTTATTGTGACGGTGCCCGCATCCATCCCTGTAGCCCCCAGCAGCTGAGCTGGGGGTCCAGAGGTCAACCGAGAGCCCGGTGTGGTTTTATCATCACCCAGTGAGAGGGAGAAAATGGGGTTAAAAGCAGCCAGAGAAAATAACTAGCAGTCGAGAGCTGGTTGAATCTGCAGGCTTGATTTATTATAGGGATTTTCTAATCTGGGCTGACTTTAACCTAATTTATTAAGCACAAGGATTTTAATTGAGTCTAAGCCTCCCTTAATGAGGAAGGCACTCATGGTTTATTCAACCTAACCAGATTCCCCCACAGGTTAAACTGCTTTTAAAGCACTGCTCAGACATAAGTGAGGGAGTGAGCACATCGCTTAGTGTGGCTTCAGAACAGGGGCGGCCCCAAAAGTCCTCCTCTTCTCACTCCACAAGAAGCTGTCGTGCTCATAGTGGTCTTTAAGGCCAACAGAGGCAAGAATGTGCTGTCACCCCCCTTCCCAAGGACCGAAGGCCACGTGTCCTTGTGCTTTGTGGCACACATGGTCCCTCAAGAGGAGCACGAGCTGTCGGTGCGAGGATGGGAGGGGAGCTGCAAGGGCTGGTAAGGCTCAGTCCTGCCCGCTGCCAGCGCTCCCAGCTGCATGGGCAAGGCTGGGGACACCGAGGCAGGTGGGGAGCTGCTCCCCTGAGTCACGAATACCCCATCTCGCAGGGCCTGGAGCTCTTTCCCCTGAAGCCTTTCGTTGGGGAGCGAAGGCTGGCTTGCATAAGGGAGGTGATGGGGAAGGGAAGGACCAGGCACGATATGAGCTCTCTGTCCTCGAGCTGCTCTGGCAGCAAGAGAGATGAACACGAGGTCTTGGGACTGCTGTGGCTGCATTTCTACGTACGGGTCTTTCATTTCCAGGAGGCTTGAAACCCCGGTAGTTATTTGGTGTCACATCTCAGTGCGAGGTTTGTTTCTGGATGAGACCAAAGGACTCTGGTCTCTGAATGCTGTGATTGAGGAAGGACAGAATATTACCACTCAAGATTGTTCTTTTAATTTTTTCTTTTCATTTTGTGATAATAAACCTGCTGTTTGATTTAAGTCTTAGAATAGAAAAGATACCGTATGAAAAATAAACCCATTAACAATTCTGCTGTATTCAGGCAGTGACTCCACAAGCTGCCTGAGCCAGCCAGGGAAGTACTGTGAGCTTACAATGTACGCATGTGATGGGATGGGAGATGCCCTCTGCATCTCCCTCTGGAGCCTTTTCCTCAATAACCGTGTGAGAAACCTGCCAGTTTCCTCCTGCTTTGCAGTTCTAGGAAGGAGGCAGACACGGGCCATGTGTTACAACCTGATGTGTGAGCTGTGCCTGCCCCACTGCTCTGATGGATGTGGCTGTCTTCAAGGCAGGGACTCTGATCTGGCTGTAAATCAGCTCCCGAGCACCTGTAGCATCCAACCCAGCGGATAATCGCCATGAGTGCAGAGATGGCCTTAAACACTGCTGGTTTCTAACAACCCTCTGCCTGTTTTTTAAATGACAGCTGCAGGACCCATTCCCAGCGTTATGCCTTTCCCAGAGGGTTTTCACTCTGTGGGTTTTTTTTAATCTACTTCAGTCCTCACAGTTTAATTTCAAGCTAAGCTGAAGCTAAGCTTGGTTTAGAGTTGGTTTGCTGTGGCACGCTGAGGACCCCATCCGTGGACGGCTGTCTTGTAAGGAGAAACTTGAATGAGCTGTGTGACAGCAGCTCCTCTGGCTGGGGTTTTCTCTCCCAAAAATAGGAATCGCTTTGAAGCAGCACAGACTGGAGGGAACAAATTAACAGGGGCCCCTTTTGGGGCGTTTATAAGCATCTGAATGGGCTCTAATTGCAGTTTGCAATTTGAAAATGGGAAGTAATGAGCTTAAACTGTAGCAAGGGAGATTTAAGGTAAACATTGGAAGTCTCTAAGGGAGGTGGTGAAGTGCTAGAGCTGCCTGGCTGGAAGGGGGAAGCCCAGTGCCTGGGGCTTCAGGGACTGGGGTAGATGAACACCTTTGGGGAACATTACAGGAAGCATTTGTCCTAGCATATGTCCCAGGCTGGGTGTTAGGAGATGGTGACTGAGTCTCATTTGATGCAAAAATGGCCTTTCCATCATCACAGGGAGATGGACGGTCTCTAGTCTGGCTTTCCTGGTTCCTCATTTTTCTGACCATTAATTACAACATCATTACTTATTCTGATGATACAGAACTCTAACTTTTCTGATTTTATTCTCCTTCTTTACACTGAATGACCTTGTGGACCATGCCACTGATTCAAGTCAAAGCTGTTGAAGAGCTTATTAGGTCTTGACGGTGTCAGGTTGAACATGCAGTCTGGTGCCATCTGTATTGTGATAATCAAATGCGTATGGTCTCTCAACCGTGTGACTGAAAAGTTAGCAGTGCTTATATGTGGGTGTTCTGTGGATGTCCGTCTGCATCTGGAGGAGCTATTCAGTTACCAGTGTAACTTCTAGAGCTGAAGATGGATTAACTTTTGCTTTCTAAAGAGAACCAGCCTTTGAATTGAGCAGTTTTAAGTCTTTGACTTATCTGCAGAAAGGATTTTTTTCTTCCCGCTCTCCTGGTTCTGGAAACTTCAGTTTTGCAGCTCCTATCAGCTGAGCAAGCAGCATTTTCTCACCTTTTTGCCCACCGTGGATAGGTCAAGTTTCACCCGGAGCTGAACGTGGGGAGAGAACATCAAAAGCAGTCACCTTTGCAAGACCGAAAAACTCAACCTGTAATTAGTTAAAAGGTCTGTAATTAGAAAGGTGCTTTACAGTTAAGGTTTAAATTAGCCTGCAGCTAAGACAAGTTTGGCACAGCCTGTCTTTAACCACTTGCTCTTGCAAAACCACACCCTTTCTAAAATAAGGAAGCCGCTGACTTTCGGCTGGTTTTAACTTCAGCTCTATAAAAAGGTTTTCTGTTCTGCTATGGGTGGTTTTTGCTGAGCCATTGACAAGCACGCGTGAGCTGGCACTGCCTTGCGAGCTGCAAACCTGTCTGCGCTCTTACCCGAGGAGAGGGCTGGACATTTCTGACTTCAGCCCTTATTTACATGCTTGTTCACTGGCTTGATGGAGAAGCAGGTCCCAAAGGCTGTGCTTTTTGGCCCCGGCTTTGCTAATCCATGGCAGCTACTGGGCTTTGATACTGACTTGAATAGAAGCAGTAGGAAGATAGTGTCTGCTCTTTGGAGACCTGAATAAAAGACTGTTTGGGGTTTGTTGTTTTTAAGGTTGTGTGGTCAAGCAGTTGTATGTAAGGAAGAAGCTCAGCAGGTTTATTTGAGGCAAGGCCTGGGGCTAAAACAATTGGTTTGACTGTTTTGAGGGTTTCCTACAATGTTATCAGAGCTCCACAGGTCCTGCTTCCTCCACTGTGAATTGGGATGATAAAATGAGGCTGCATCTCATGCTTGGCAATAGAAAAAAAGAGAAATTGCGGTCTCTCTTGTAAAAGTAATTGCTGGTTAAAGCCCCTTCCCTCTGTCGCTGCTTTCACGGGCAGAAAACGTAAAATCACTCCCCACCTTGGTTGTCGCTCCTCTTTCCATAGTCCATACCCTTATATCCAGCAGTGAGGCCAAATATTGACACGAATTCCTCATTCTTCATCATATACTCCTGAAAAGTACACTTCCTAAATGCTGGAAATGGGAAGGAGGTTTTGAATGATTGGAGTACGGTCCTCTGACAGGCTGGCAGTGGGGAGCGGCGCAGATGGACCAGGTGAGCTTGTCAGTGGGATTGAACACTGTGTGTGACAGCCCCCTGCAAAGCACTGTTAACGGCAGCTTTCACAGCAGAACCTGGGAGGCTGCAGAGTTTGATGAAGAGGAGCGCTGTGTCGTGAGAACTGGGGTGTCATGGATAACAGGGATGCTGCAGATGAGTCTGTCGCAGGAGCCATCAGGGTAACATCTCTGGCACAGGTCTTGTATCCACATGAGCTGCAAAACTGCATGCCTGCATTAGATCAGTCACAGGGTAAAAGTGATCAGGGATGGAGCTAGACATTTTCCCTCTGGCAGGAGGAGTGTGGGGAGCCTGCAAGGGTGAAAAATGGCTCTTAAAATGCCTCTGCCTTCCTTCTACCTGCTGAGCCTGCATTTCCCAGGGATGGACGTGAAGCAGGATGGTGAACCGGATCCTAAGCTGGCACCCGCTCAGCCCTGGTGAGATAAATCTGCTTTGTAGCTGTCCAGGTAGAGCACAGCCCCACTCCCACCCCTAAAAGCAGGTATTGTGGTTAGCAGTTTGCATCTAACTG